TAGTCTGTGGGCCCTTCTCCTGTGGTGCACCCTGCACTGCGGTCTGCTGGTGAGAAGCTGCTCTGGAAGCCTAGATGCCTGGATGACCCAAGCACGGCCAGGATCCCACCCCTCCTCTGCCACTCAGCCCAGTGAGGAGAAGGATCCTGCCCCCACCCTGGGGCTATGAGGATGGTGAGCTCATGTCTGGGGCTGTCCTGGGAGAATGCCTGGTTAACAGGGCGGGGGTGGGGCACCTGGTGCCAGTTCCTGGGCTCCCTGCTCTGCCCTTCCCACCCCTCAGCCCACCAAGATCCAGCTGTTCTCTCTGGCCTCCTGGGCAGCACTGTCATCCACGGACAGCCTTTTTCAGGGTTTAGGAATGCGGGTCGGGACAAAATCTCCACCCTATTTGTGGTCCAGGACTGGAGCTGTTCCTTGCCTACGCTGTACCTTAGTCGTTTTGGTGATAGCAAAGCCTAGCATCTCCGGATGGGTGGCTTGCCCACGGCCCAAGGCTGGATGGGGATGAAGGAACATCACGGTTCTTAGAAGTGGTAGAAGGATGGGTGCAGGAACCACCCCTTTTGGGGATAGAGGCTCTTTGGTTCTGACTGTCTTAGCTGAGGCCTGTCTAGTCTCTGTTTCTTTGTCCCTGGTGAGAAGAGGGGGCAGAGTGGAGTCAGCAAATCCTCTCCTGTCGTGGCCCTCTCGCAGTTGTGTCTACTCAAGGAAGCAGCGTCCCGAGCAGTCTTATGGAGAAACCTGGTCTCACTCCAAGAGAGCACCCCTCAAAGTCAGTGTTAGTACGATTTTCCAACAATCAGAGGAGGCCGGAAATGGGCTGCTGTAGAAGTAGTGGCCATGAGAGAGTAGTGGCACCCAGAGAGAGAAGTAGCCACCTTCTCTCTCTGGGTCCCAGAGAGAGGCCCCTTTCAGCTTGGTGCTGGAAACTGTTGAGAAGAGGGTGATTCAGCCAGCTGTGTCCTCCTGAAGGGGAAAGGGAAAAGGAAAGGGGTGTCAGGGAGTGATGTGGGCATAGTCAGAGGTTTGGGTACCTTCCTCTCCTCTGTGGAAGCCATGTTGGGTATCTGCATTTTCAACCCACACCCATCAACTTCAGCCCCCTACCAGGGCCTGACAGCTCTGTCTGGGTTAAGCACATCTGTGAAACTCAGGGGAGGAGTGTGACAAGGAGGAAAACCAAGCAAGGCTGTGAAGTGGGACAGCTGTGTCTCAAGTCTCTGCTGTGCCTTGCACTGGCCTTAGGCGTTGGTGAGGTGCCTGACTGCACAGAGAGCTAGCTCCTGGGATTGTGAGTTGGGAGGCTGGACTCTCAGCTTAGTTCCTGCCATCTCCACGGCTGAAGGTGGGCATCCAGCACTTTGAGTGGAACTTATATTGATATCCTTGGACCTTGGCACTACGGTTGGTGATGATTAGGGAGCCAGGCAGCTAGGGGGTGGGTGCCCACATGTATACCCCTGCCCATGGGCTGCAGTGGGAAAGGGGTGCAAGGCATATGCAGGAAGAACCAGGCCCCTGTGTAGGAATCGGAGACCTTTAGTGGGCAGGGGCCCACAGACGACTCTTCAGGCAGGGTCTGAAGCAGTAATCACGCCCATTTCCCTGTGTTCAGGCAGAACCACCCTTCTCTAGTCCCTGACTGTGGAGAGGAAAATGGTCCTATCAGAGATCTCTGCTCCTGTCTGAGGAGAACTTGGCTTCTTGTCCTCTTTCCCATCGTCTTCCCACCTGGCTGGAAGTCTTTTAAAAATCAAACCCAAGCACCCTCTGCAGCTCGGCTGGCTAGGTGCTTCCAGCCCTGTCCTTGGTGATGAGGAAAAATAGGTGCCCTTTTTAGGTGCATGTTTGTGCTCTGTCCCCGCCCCACTTTTCTTCACGAGAATCACCCTGGTTTCCACAGCTCTTTCTCCCAGCCCCATCTTCATCTATGCTCTGTCTCATTACCCCACCCCAGGCCTAAAGTAGCTGGGACTGGGCTGTGGGGTGGGCCCGGGCTAGAGCAGTGGCAGGAGGTGGCGCCTGCAGCTGCCTGCGTCTGGTCATCGGTCCTCAGCACGCGCCACGCATGGGGGTGCTGGCGTTTGTGTTCAACGCCTTGCCCACTTAAGCTGCCTCCTTTGAGTGGGAAATGGGAAAGGGTTGGTCCGCCCTGGTCTGTGTTTTGGCCAACACCCACCTCCCTTATACACACACAGACCCCCACACCCACACACCCACATACACACTACTCTAGGGCCCTGCTCCCTCTGCCTGTTGCCAGGTTCTGAATGTATTTTTTCCAGAGGCCTCCAATTGTTTCCTGAAGAAACCTGATCCCAGAGCTCAGACAAAAGCTGGGGCCGCCAGAGGAGAAACCCCATTCTCTCCTCCTCTGTCCCTATCGCCCCCACCTCTATAACCTCCCTCCCTTTGGATGCTGGGTATGGGTTCCAGGACCCGGCTGCCATCACCTAGGCAACAGGGGGCTTTTGTTGCCATGGTGATCAATGTGGGAGAAGCTGGGCAGCCGGGACAAAAGCCCCCACATTCCCCCCCGCCGAGCTCCCCCCAATCCCCTTGGGATGATACTGAGACACATTCCATTAATTTTATTTCTGAAAGGCCTTTGGAGGGGAGAAGGGTCTCCTTTTTGTAACAGGCTCTCTCTTCTCTCCCTCTCTCCTCCCTGGCCTCTTTTTAACCCCAGATAATCCATGGTTGGTTTGAGCAGGGGACTGAGTGTGTGTGTTTGTGTCTTGGGAAGTGGGGGGCAAGGTGAAAGGCAGTGGGGCACATTCCTTTTCTACAGCCTCCCCCTTCCCCAGACTAGGGCAGCTCCCTGTCCTGCACCGAGTCCGGACTTCCCTCTCCGTCTCGTCATCCCTTTTGACATTTCCACTTGTTGCTCTCATCCAGTGATCCCCTCCCCCCATCTCTTCCCTGGGAACGCTGCCCACCCGGGAGACCCTCCAAACCCCTGATTCCTGAGACTGATTAAATAAGGGGAACTTCTGCCCTTCTCTTTACTCCCCTCCCCTCCCTCCTCCCAGGCCCCCCAGCAGCAGTGCTTGGATTAGTTCCCTGGGGTACTTGAAGACACAGCAGGCAAGGGTCTCAGAAGTCGGGTTCATTTTTGGTGCCTGTGTTTGGTAGGGAGGAGAGAAGCGTGTTTTGGTGCTTTTTGGGCTCCCTGACTTGGGTTGGCAGGCCAGGGGAGCAGGATTCATGTTGAGTCTTTAGTAAGTAGCACGGGAGGAAGATAGGGGGCACTAGGCTGGGCAGCTCAGAACAAAAGGATGGGAGGGGACTGGCACCCTTGTCTGGTTTGAAGTTTATCTGGAGGGGAAATGCAATGGCATCAGTTTACCTCCTGGGTGTGTTTGAAGTGGTGGTTCTGGTTGGTGTGCATGTGTGTGTGTGTGTGATTTCTTTATTTAGTTGTACTAACAGCAGGATTTATTTATACCACCTCTTTCTCTAGTCTCAGAGGAAGTGTCTGGGGATTGGAGTATGAGTGATCCTGGAGCTAAAACTTGTTAATTGCTTAACTAATTACTAGCTGAGCCATTTATAAAAGCACTTCTTTCACCCTCCTGATCCTTACGGCTACCCCATGAAAAAGGCATCATTATCTTCCCTATTTTACTAATGAGCTTACCAGGCTACAGGCACAGAGATGTTAAGTAACTTGCACATGGTCACACAGCTAGTCAGTGGAAGAGTTAGGTTTTAAACTCAGATCTTTGAGTGCACATCCCTGGCTCTTCTGGCTGTTGGCTTTGGTAGATGGTGGGTATACAGGAGGATGAGGAGATGGACAGCCTGGGATCTAGTGTGTGTGTCTAGACGCTAGTTCATGGCAGTTGTTTACTTCTCCACCCCCTTTTCTACCCCCATGTCACTCTGTGACCCACTTATTATCTTTGAGCCTCCTGGCAAAAATCAGTTTTTATGAGGAAGACTAGAAAGAATAGGCTGGAACCACAAGAGAAATGCAGGTGAGATGTCTAAACTATATGGAGGGATAGGCCAGTAGAATGGGTCCTCAGGAGAGTGGGTAGATGAGCCCAACATATATTTTTCAGGTAAGTGGATAGATAAGGGTCATTTTTGCTGCAAAGGTTTTTGGAAAGTCTTATGGTTGGGTTAAGGTGTTATGTCTCAGTCCTGTAAGTGTGTCCTTATCACACACATGCTTTGACATTTGACTGACTTTGATATTTGACTGACAAATATAACTAATCCTATGGAGGATTGCATCTATAGAGCTCTGTTAAGAGGATGAATGAATAGATTTCACATTCATCTCCCTACAGTCATTATAGTTTCCCTGAGAGCCAGAGAGGTGTACAGTCATGGATGTTTTGGTCAACGATGGACTACATATATGATGGTGGTCCCATAAAATTATACTATTGTATTTTTACTGTACTTTTTCTATGTTTAGATATACAAGTACATACCATTGTGTTACAGTTGGCTACAGTGTTCAGTACAGTAACATGCTGCACAGGTTTGTAGCCTGGGAGCAATAGACTATACCATAAGGCCTATGTGTGTAGTAGGCTATACTACAAAAACACAAGGTTTGTGTAGGTATGTTCTATGATGTTCCCAGGATGCAGCTGCCTAATGACACATTTCTCAGAAAGTATCCCTGTGGTTAAGCGAGGCATGACTATGTTCATTTACTAGGTTGGTATCAGTTCCTTGCTCTGCGCCCATGGGAGGGGAGATTGATATAAATATGTATCAATCATATTGTTTATTCTCAAATTACTGATGGTTTAGAGTAGTCGGAGTAAAGGTAACTATACACAGCAAATCCATTTTAGTGTTTTTTTTTTTTTTTTGAGACAGAATCTCGTTCTGTCGCCTAGGCTGGCGTGTAGTGGCATGATCTTGGCTCACTGCAACTCCCGCCTCCCAGGTTCAAGCAATTCTCTGCCTCAGCCTCCCGAGTAGCTGGGATTACAGGCGCCTGCCACCACGCCTAGCTAATTTTTATAGTTTTAGTACAGATGGGGTTTCACCATCTTGTCCAGGCTGGTCTTGAATTCCTGACCTCGTGATTCACCCACCTCGGCCTCCTAAAGCACTAGGATTAAGGTGTGAGCGACCCCGCCCGGCCCCATTTTAGTTTTTAACATAATCAGCCTCTCAGCAGCATTTGACCTGGTTGACTTAATTGCCACCTCAAAACACTCTTAAATTTCTGGCTGCCTTGAGACCCCACTCTTCTGGCTCCCCTCCTTCTCTGGCCTTCTCATCCCATTTGCTCCTTTTCCTCTAGACATGTGCACATGTCAGGGTCCTTTATGTCCTTATGTAGTCCTCTCCCTAGGTGATTCCATCTATCCCCATAGCTTTTCACACCCTCAGTACCTCCAGCTCGGACTGTCCTCCGAGTCTGGCTCCTCTGATACCTGGCTGCCTACTGTCTCATGGCCACTAACTTAGCAGGCTAGAAGCTGAACTAATTGTCTTCCCTCACAAGGCTGCTTCCTCCCCAGTCTTCCCTATCCTACTGATGGTGCTACCATCTGCTCCCTTGCTCAGGCTGGGGATTCTTGACACTCCCGTCCCGCTCATTAGGTCCTGTTGATTTGACTGTTGCTCACTCTTCTGTGGTTCTACCCTTAGCAAGCCTGTACTACTGCAGTCACCTCCTTACTGATCTCCCTGTTTCTACTTTTCCTTCTTTTCAATCCATATCTGCATAGCTAAAATCCTTCGAAGTTTTCCTGTGGCCTTAGAATAAAATAAAGTTCATGCTCTTCACCTGGTGCCTGGCTGTCTCTGCAGTGCCTCCTTCTACCGCCCACTCTCTTCCTCAACTCCGGCCCCACTGGCCTTTGTTGGTTCTTTAAATACAACAAACTCTTTCCTGCCTTTGGCCTTCACACATGTGATTCCTCTGCTCCTTTGCTTGGTTAATTCCTGTTTCTTCTTCAGGCCTGTGCTGAGATGTCATTTTTTTCAGACTTTCTAGAACCGCTAAGTTTAAAGTAGCCCTTGCCCCATGTGGTGTCTCTCAGTTTCCTGTTCCGCCCTTCCATCCATAAGTATAAACGACCTGCAATCGGTCATTTATACTTATCTGCTTACTTGTTTGGTGTGCCCTCTTCCCTGCTAGACTGTAAACTCAGGGTTTGTTATACTACTTTACACCCTAGCAGAATACATGTTCATAGAAGGTACTCAAACAAGATTTGATGCGTCAATGACCGAAGATAGGAAGTAAGTGCTCAGTGGATGATGATGACTGTTAGGGGAGTCAGGGTCAGCAGGGAAGATAACATTGGGTGCTAGAGTACGTGGGGGCTCCTATGAGGGGTTGGGGCTGGGCTCTGAAGAATGAGCAGGATTTGGGTAGGGATTAGAGAGAGGAGAGGTCATCCTCCTCTGCAGAATCAGAAGGTGAAGTATGGTTGAAAGATAAGCCTATAAGTAGGCAGATAAACTTGTGCCTTGCCTATTTCAGAACTTTAGGCAAGTAGAAACTTGTCTTCTCCTCCCACCCCCACCATATTATCCATAGTTTCCACCCCTCACCCTCACCTGGGGGTGTGCATACGAAGCTGCCACACCTGATCTTACCAGTAACCCTGGGTGTGTTTGAAGTAGATGCTGGGGAGATGGTACCAAGGGAAGCAGCCCGCTGTGGGCACACTCAGAAAGTATGAGTGAGGGGAGGAGGTGTAGCATGTGGAGGAGATGCCTGGGGTAGCCCCTGGACAGAAGCCAGCTCCTTTCTGCTCTCTGAGGTGTCCATTGGTTCAGCCTGTCGGCTTGGCCAGAACCTGCCTTCTTCATGCCTCAGTTTTCCTGGGTGAGAATAGGGAAGCAATGCCCTGCTCCTCCCTTTCAGAGGGCTTGTGGTTAGGTCATTCTGGGTGAGCCTTCCTGCCCTGGGAGCCTTTGCTAGCCATCTTCCCCCAGGCCTGAGTCCTTGGCACAGCCTGGCAGGGCTCTTTCTAGAGGAGGGTAGGAGGAACTGGGCCCAGTGGACAGCAGGAACCTGGGTGGAGATATTCTCAGGCCATGGCTGGGCTCCTTTGAGCCTTCTGTGGCTATTGTGTGTGGATGGTCTTCCTCTGCTCTGACCCCATAGAGAGCTCAAGCCGCCTCTAACCAGCTTCTTCCTCTCACCAGGAGCGTCGCTGGATTTTCTCTGAGACAAGCCCACCCGTCCAGCAAAATAGAGTCCCTCAGGGTGACAGTTGACTTCCTGAAGGTGCCTCTTGGCCTGAAGAAGCCGGTGCTGAAGGAGGTGGCTGTGGGGCCCCCCAAGAGGCCCCAGCCTGCGGCCCTGGAGCGCTATAAGGCGCGGCGTTCAGACGCCATGGACACCGAGTCCCAGTACTCGGGCTATTCCTACAAGTCGGGCCACTCCCGCAGCTCCCGCAAGCACAGGTGGGCAGGCATGTGGGGTGACGTGTGGCGGAGGGAGGGTTGGGGGCTGTTAAGAGGTGGGCACGTGCAGGGGTGGTGGGGTAGAGTGGCTGCCGAGAAGACCCTGGTCCACTGCTGGACTTTCTGTGCCTCTTCTGGCTTCCTGCCGCAGGGACCGCCGGGACCGACACCGCTCTAAGAGTCGAGATGGGAGCCGAGGGGACAAGTCGGTGACAATCCAGGCTCCCGGGGAGCCCCTGCTGGACAATGAGTCCACACGAGGGGATGAGCGGGTGAGCACCGGGGATGTGGTGGCCCAGACTGGGCATTTTCAGACTGCTCCTGAGGGGCTGGAGGCTCCACAGAGTGGGGGAGGGCTTGGAAACCTAGTCTCAGACAGCTGCCAGATTGGGGAGTGTGTCTTCTGTTATACTTAGGTTGGCTCAGTATCTTAAGGTAGGACCTTCAGGAATTTCAGTATAGAGATCCCTCTGGAAGCAGCAGCCTCTCCTTCCTTATCTCCAGAGGCGTGGAGGGGTGACCTGGGCTGTGTGATGGGAATTGCCCAGCTCCTCTGCAGCTGCTGCCAGCCGGTCAGGCCCGCTGGGAGTCTGGAGCAGGAGGGCGGTGGTGGTGGCTGGGCCTGGGGTGTGTATGAGCAAAGCTGAGTTTTCCTGGAGCCTCAAGGTGTGGGCGCTCTGTGCCCTCTGGTGTCAGCCTGTAGAATGGCGTCACCTAGGTCTTGGGAAAGGAGTATGGGAAGAGTAGATGAAGAAAGCCTGAGGGAGAAGAAGTGAGGCTGAGGGATGGAGCAGAGACCCTCGGAGAGACTTCTCCAGGACAGGGTGAGCAGGTTTTCTATTCTAACCTCTGTGGCCCGCTGTGCTCACCTGGTAGGGAGGACAGTGGACAGAACACAGTCCTGGAATAGGGCAGAGGCAGGATTCGAGGTGACACTGAGGTTGCCCAAGACTCATTCCTCTTGGGAGCATCTCTGGGGGCTGGAGATTCCCAGCTCCTTTTTCCTCAGAAGAAATCCTTGTGACTGACATTGGGAATTCCTGGGCCTTGGGAGCAGGTCAATGCCTGAAGGAAATGTTCTTTTTCCCTCTCTGCCAATCCCTTCTCCCTGGGGCCTGGTCTCCTGAGTTCTTGAAGTGACCTTGAGGCATGACCAGCTCTCCTGCTGTTGGGGAGGAGATCCCAAGCCATTGGTCCTTGGAGGGGGTGGGCAGTATGTCTGGGGGTCAGAGGGCAGGGAACAGACCGAGGGCCTTGAGCTGAAAGCAGTCAGTGCATCTGCTTTCTATCTTCACATCAGACTCATTCCCCATCCTGTGGAGAGGAGGTTCCTCAGCCTCCCTAATCACTGGTGCTGTCGGGCTGCCTTCATCCTGTAATCTGAACCTTCTAAGTGTCAGGATGTGATTCCATATCCCCAGGCTGTCCCAGGAGTGAAGGCTGTGGGTGCTGAAGGCGGCTGGTGGTCTTGGGACTCCTCTGTGGGATGACCTCCAGCCACTGCAGAGAAACAGCTTGAGCAGACCACACTTAGAGGGGCACCTGGGGACCTCATCCTGGCCACCTTCTTGCCTCTAGGGATAGGCATTTAGATGGCCCAGCAGAGGTGGCCTTGCAGACCAGAGACCCAGAGACCCAGGGTGGCCTTGAGTCTGCACAGTGTCCTTCACACCTTCACCCCTTTACCCCTGGGGTCTTCTCTTCTTCTCTGTGCTGCTTTGGTCAGGTTACTGCCTTAGTTGGAAACCTTCAGTGGCTCTCCATGCCTGGAGAATAGGTGCTTATTGCCTAGCCCAGCACTGCAGCATGGCCTGCACAAGCCCCGCCTGGCTGTTCTCTGCCTCACCTTCCTGGTTGCACCTTGCTGTGCTTCTGCATGTGGATCCTCTGCTCTCATAGCCCTTGGGTGCCTCAGTTCATGCCATTCCTGCCCTGGAGGCTCCTCCTCTAGCTTCTGCTGAAATCATGGCATGCTGGAAAGAACTTAGATAGGACTTCCATAATTTTTTTTTGGTTTTTTGAGATGGAGTTTCGCTCTTGTTGCCCAGGCTGGAGTGCAATGGTGTGATCTTGGCTCACTGCAACCTCCGCTTCCTGGGTTCAAGCGATTCTCCCACATCAGCCTCCCGAGTAGCCACAGGCACGTGCCACCATGCCCGGCTAATTTTTTTTTTTTTTTAATTTTTAGTAGAGATAGGGTTTCTCCATGTTGGTCAGCCTGGTCTCAAACTCCTGACCTCAGGTCATCCACCCACCTTGGCCTCCCAAAGTGCAGGGATTACAGGCATGAGCCACTGTGTTCAGCAGGACTTCCAGAATTAATGTTAATGTTTGAGTGATTCATGTGGATTTTGTTAAAATGCAGATTCAGATTCTGGTTCAGTAAACGTGTGGTGGGCCTGAGGTTCCACCTTTCTAACCAGCTCCCAGGTGATGTCCACACTGCTGGTCCACAGATCACATTTTGAGTAGCCAACCAGCCCTTAGAGATCATTTAGTTCAGCGATTCTCAATCTTGGATGACCACTACAATCATCTGGGGAGTTTTTTGTTTTTTTTTTTTTTTTGAAAAGGTTCACAAGCAGATCGTATTCCCCAGTAATTAGTATTATTTTCTGACCTCCATTAAGTGTTCTAATGTGTGCATCTGGGATTGGGAACATCTTCCTGGAAGCTCCCCTCCCCCAAGGATCAGCTCAGGTCCCACCTGCCTGCTTTGCTTGGCGAGTTTGCCCTCGGATCCCAGTCACTGCCTGAGCAGCTCCTTCAGTATTTGTCCTGTGCTGTCTGCTCTGAGGATCATTGCCGCATGTGTGGTTTTTTCCTCTCTCATTGACCAGTGTCCAGCTCCCTGAGGGCTCGGGTCTTGGACTTGGCCATCTGCAGAGGCCAGACTTGGACACACAGTGGAGCTCAGTAAATACTTTGATGGTTGCGTATTTGTTGATTACCTTCTCTTCTTTCTGCCTTCTCCTTTCCCATGTGTTCCTCTCTGCCTCCTCTCCCCTTGCCCTTTCTCCTGTTCATCTCCTCTTCCTCTTCTTATCCTTTCCTCCTTATTGTGTGGCTGGCCCCCTTCTGCCTGTAGGATGACAACTGGGGGGAAACGACGACAGTAGTAACGGGCACCTCAGAGCACAGCATCTCCCACGATGACCTCACGCGCATCGCCAAGGACATGGAGGACAGTGTCCCTCTGGACTGCTCCCGTCACCTGGGTGTGGCGGCAGGGGCCACCCTGGCGCTGCTGTCTTTCCTCACGCCGCTGGCCTTCCTGCTGCTGCCCCCACTGCTGTGGCGGGAGGAGCTGGAGCCTTGCGGGACGGCCTGCGAGGGCCTCTTCATCTCTGTGGCCTTCAAGCTGCTTATCCTGCTGCTGGGCAGCTGGGCTCTGTTCTTCCGCCGGCCCAAGGCCTCGCTGCCCCGCGTCTTTGTGCTGCGCGCCCTACTCATGGTGCTGGTTTTCCTGCTCGTGGTCTCCTACTGGCTCTTCTATGGTGTGCGCATCCTGGATGCTCGGGAGCGCAGCTACCAGGGCGTGGTGCAGTTCGCCGTGTCCCTGGTGGACGCCCTTCTTTTCGTGCACTACCTGGCCGTGGTCCTGCTGGAGCTGCGCCAGCTCCAGCCTCAGTTCACGCTCAAGGTCGTGCGCTCCACCGACGGCGCCAGCCGCTTCTACAACGTTGGCCATCTCAGGTACTAGCCCACAGCTGGAGAAGGGTTGGGAGGGAAAGGGCATGGGAGGATGTGGAGTGACTGCTAGGGTGGGAGGGTGTGATGGTGGGCTGGAGGTGATGGACTTGGAGGGCTATGTGGGAGGGAGTTGAGTACTTTGCACCAAGTAGGTTTTCACCAATGTTTGCTGCTTGATGGGCAAGTTCATGTACACGGTTGTGGGGCAAGATCAGTTGGGAGTTATGAGTTGGGAATGAACAGGCATTTAGAGGTAGGGAATATTAGAGGGGGATGAACCAAAGGGAAGAAATATTGGGGGGGTGCACAAACAGGGACTTTTTGGAATCCCCTCTCTAGTGGAATCCCCACTCTTTCTGGGAGGCACAGCTTCTCGTGAGCACTCAGTGGCCTGTGAAGTGACCTGGCCAGAGGAGGGATCCCCAGAGAAGGAGATAAGGAGGAGAGTTCTTCAGCTCCCAGTAAACAAGCTACCCCTCGAGGCCACACAGAGTATCAGTGGCACATCCTTGGTCCTGTAGAGAATCTTGGGGGAATGCCGGATGGGGATGAGGTGATCTTTGACTGGGGACCCAGGCCCAATGCCCTTTCTCTGCTGGGCTTTGGCATGGTGGGGAGGGACTGGAAGGCCCAGCCCTGGGGAAGGCTTGGGAGCCTGGTAAGTAGACCTCAGGCCCAGAGCCGGGCTTCTTGGAAGCAGCTTGTCCCTGTCCTGTGTCCTCTCCTGCCCTGCCAACCTGCCCTAATGTGTCCCTTCCCCTGTGCCCCTTGTCTGTCCCTTCTCCGCTCCCTCCTGCCGTCTCCCCCACAGCATCCAGCGCGTGGCAGTGTGGATCCTGGAGAAGTATTACCATGACTTCCCTGTCTACAACCCCGCCCTCCTCAACCTGCCCAAGTCCGTCCTGGCCAAGAAAGTGTCTGGCTTCAAGGTGTATTCCCTCGGAGAGGGTGAGCAGCCCTGCTCCTCTGCCCTTCCCTGTCTCTTCCCAAGAAGGACTCCAACTTCCCGCCTCTCTCTTACCCTTCGTCCCTTGCTTTTTCCTTTCCTTAGCCTATGTTCCAGCCGCTTCTGTTCAGTCACTTCCCTTGACTCCAGGTGGCTGAGCTGCTCATCCTACTTGCTGTCCCTTTATGCTATGGCGTGTCCCCTGATCTGGCTCCTCAGTATCTCTCATCAGCCCTGGTCTAAGCCCTTCAGCTCTTGGAGCTGCAGAACCCCCTGCACTGGGGAGGAACACCTGCAGGACTCCTGTGCTTCCAGTGCCTTCCTTTTTGCTTTCCTGTGGCCCCTCCCAGAGGTGGCCAGGAGGGTTGGGATTAGGAGGTATTGCTGGGTGGTGGGAACAGCTTCTTCTGGACGTGTCAGGCTGCTGTCTCCAGAGCTCCTGGAGTGGGAAGAGAGGCCACACTCTGATGTGACCATCTCCTCTACCCTGTTCTTGTGCAGAAAACAGCACCAACAACTCCACTGGCCAGTCTCGGGCTGTGATCGCAGCGGCAGCTCGGAGGCGGGACAACAGTCACAATGAGTACTACTATGAGGAGGCTGAGCATGAGCGAAGGGTGCGCAAGAGGAGGGCCAGGTGGGTCCCTGGGGGAGAAGAGGAGGGGAGGTGCTTGTTCGGGGAATGGGGAGAGGAAGACCAAGGAACTCCTATAGCTGGAAATATAGAGCAATGATGACATGAGTTGGGGGGGTGTTTGTTTTCCATTGCTGCCCTAACAGATTACCGTAAACTTAGCAGCTGTGAAACAGCACACATTTATTATCTCCCAGTTCCGTGGGTCAGGTGTAGGCTGGCTGGAGGCTGTGCTCAGGCCTCACAGGCTGAAATCAAGAGGACTCTCATCTGAGCCTATGCTTTCTCTTTCAAGCTCATTATTATGGGGAGAATTTAGTTCCTTGTCACATAGCCCCATAGGCAGTTTACAAGATGGCAGTGCACTTTTTTTCCCAGCAGAAACAGGTCTCTAACTTCTGCCACCAGCTGGAGATAACTCTGATTTTTTTTTTTTTTTTTTTTTTTTTTTTTGGTATTTTTAGTAGAGATGGGCTTTCACTATACTGGCCAGGCTGGTCTTGAACTCCTGACCTCATGATCCACCCGCCTCAGCCTCCCAAAGTGCTGTGATTACAGGTGTGAGCCACCACGCCCAGCCCAACTCTGATTTTTAAAGAGCTCATGTGATTAGATCAGGCCCAACAGGACAGTCTTCTTTTAAGGCCACTGACTTGGCACATTAATTACATCTGCGAAATGTACCAAGATTGTTGTCTAATGAGGGGATGGGAGTCTGGTAGAAGTGGAGGGTATCTTTGAATTCTGCCTGCCACAGTGGGGTAGGGACCCAATAAAGGGATGTGAGCTTTACCTGCAATAGCACGGGCTCAGGCTAGACTAGCCCGCCTACCAGTAGATCTTGAGGGGACTCACCAGATGGTGCTTTTGTTGCCTTCAGAAAATGAGGTTTTAGTGCCTATATTTTGGTAAATTCTTAAATGCCATCCTCGCTTCTCCCTTTCCCTATTCATATTATTACGTGAATTTAGTCAACCCTGAAGAATCTTACTTGGTGCCTACTCTGCCGGGTTCCATCTTGGTCTGTCGGGAGTTCCCTGAGGGAGGAGCAGAGTGCCTTGGGACTTGGCTACACACCTGCCCTCCGCCCCATCTCCCACACCATCTCCAGGTTTCAAGGGCAAGAGGTAGCCCTTACTCTGTTCTTATATGAGGCTGGCATCCCCTGTAGTAGAACAAAGATCACCAACGCCATTTCTGTGGCATTCCAACCTATCTCTAATTGTCTTGGAAATGGCCCTCATGGGAAGGAAACCAGTGATGTCCCTACCCCTTTACCTTCTGCCCTGAGCAGGGTCATCCAGTCTCCTGTGCTGCCACCACCATTTTTGGCACATAGAGGACTCTCCTTTCCCCATTACCTTGCTTGTAACCAGGAGCAAACTTTTTCCTTTGTTTACCTGAGATAAAAGGATCTTTTCAAAGGGAATTTACTGAGAAATGTAGGGGAAGCAAGAGAATAAAGAAAGAAATGATAGACATACACAGATCCACACCTACATACCCAGAGTCCCATCTGAAATGACTCAAGTTCCTGGGTTCCTGGGTTTCTGCATAACAGGCCTCACTTTCTTTCTTTGTCCTGTCACTTTAGGCTGGTCCTGCTCTTAGGCCAGGGGCTTTTACTTTGGTTTTTGGACTTGAAGTGCAGATAATTGGATTAATGGCTCTTTTCAGCTTCTAACATATTGTCATTATAGGGTTTTTCATGGTTCTTTGTTCTGTTTTCTCTTTTCCTCCAGTTCCCACTTTCACTCCAGCCCCACATTTGAGGCATCCAGTTGAGTGTGTTTGATTTCCTTAAAACCCATATGTATCCTTGTGCAAAATTAGTGTTAGTGTAGTGATCTTTGTTGGTGTTGGTGTGTGTGTCTGTATGCTTTTTTTTTTTTTTTTTTTTTTTTTTTAGACGAAGTCTTGCTCTGTTGCCCAGGCTGGAGTGCAGTGGCGTGATCTCGACTCACTGCAACCTCCGCCTCCTGGGTTCAAGTAATTCTCCTGCCTTAGCCTCACCAGTAGCTGGGATTACAGATGTGTGCCACCATGCCCATCTAATTTTTGTATTTTTAGTAGAGATGGGGTTTCGCCATGTTGGCCAGGCTGGTCTCGAACTCCTGACCTCAGGTGATCTACCTGTCTTGCCCTCCCAAAGTGCTGGGATCACAGTCATGAGCCACTGTGCCCGGCCATCTGTATGCTTTTAATGTAAATGGACTTCTTTTTCCTGCTTCCTCCTTAACACTGAGTTTTTGAGATTCATCCAAGTTGCCTGTACATCTAGTTTGTTGCATCTTTTTGCTGCACAGTAGTTCGTGGAATACTCCCAACATCCTATCCAATATTTGGTTTATAGTTACTTCTTTCTTTTTTCCATTTTGATGAAAAAGTAGTATTTTACTAACATTTTCATTTGCATCTCTCTAATTGCTGGCCAGTAACTACTTCGTATATTCTTTTGCCTTTCAGTCCTCTTGTGAATTTTCTGTTCACCTCCTTTGCCCTTTTTTCTCTAGGCTTCCTGCCTTTTTCTTCTTGATAGAAATTGTAGCAAATTCTTTGCATGTTCTAGATATGAATCCCTTGTTGGTTTTAGATGTGTATATTTTCCCCAGCTCCATCAGATGTCAGTTAATGTTGCCCATGGGATCATGGTTGAATAGAAATCTGTCTTTTTGATGTAGTCATATCTATTAATTGTTGACCCAGTGAAATATGATTTGGGGGTCTTATTTAAGAAGGTTTTCCTTAAAGTTGGATGGAATGCTTTGTCTTTCCTATAGCACAGTTCCCAGTTGTCTCTCTGGGGTTTGACACTAGGTTTGCCCTCTGAATCCCTGGGTTGGGCCCAATGAACTCTGACTGTTTACTGTTCCCAGTGGGAGAAAGGCATGATTGCCCCTGGCTTTGTATTGCTTTGGGTGAGCACAAAGGCCTGACCTCATTCAGGCAGCTGGAGTGTTGGAGCTAGGGGAGAGGGGTGGGGTGGTGGAAAGAGAGGTGGGCATCTGGCCCAGTCCCCTCCTGTCCCCTAGGCTTGTAGTGGCAGTGGAAGAGGCCTTCACTCACATTAAGCGGCTTCAGGAAGAGGAGCAGAAGAACCCCAGGGAGGTGATGGACCCCCGGGAGGCAGCCCAAGCCATCTTCGCATCCATGGCCCGTGCCATGCAGAAGTACCTTCGGACCACCAAACAGCAACCCTATCACACCATGGAGAGCATCCTGCAGCACCTTGAATTCTGCATCACGCATGACATGACGCCCAAGGTAGGCCTGCCCTGCTGCCAGCATCCTTCCTCTTTCCCCAGCTCCTCTTCTTTCCCACATTCATTTTCCCTGATTCTCTCACTACTTTCCTCACTGTCCACCTCATTTCTCTCTCCTCATCACCTCCTCTTTATAATCTTCTCTCTCATTCCTATTCCACCTGCCCCATCTGTGTGGGGTGAAGTCTTTAGGTAGATGAGGAGAAGGGAGTCCTCAGGACCATTTTTGGGGATGGCTGAGACTTAGTTCTTATCTCTATGAGGGCTCTGGAATTACCAGATCCAAAGGCCCACCTTTACCCCCATTACCCTCTTCGCCTCCACTAGCTGGTCTTGGCTTTGTATCATTTTGAGCCATTGCCCACCCTTAACTCTATTGCCAGCTTCCAAGAATTGCTTTCCCTGAGCCACCCTTGGTGAGCAGGTAACTAAAGATGTTGCACTTTAACGTTGACACCTCTGGCTCCCTCCTGGTGCAAAAAAACAAAACCTGCTTGGCATTAATCATATAAGCTGTGTGGGAAGGAAGGAAGAATGAGGGAGGGCTTACCCAGGTCACAGCCTGGTGCAGGGAGAAGAGCAGCAGATGGGGGTCAGGGGAGCCGAGTTCAGTCCTACCTGATGAGCCACATCCCCTTGTGCACTCCAGCTTCCTCATTTATAAAATGAGGGTCTGAAGCAGATGATCTCAGGCCCCTTCCTGCTGTAACATTCTGAAGTTCTAGTTCATATACATAGAGTGAGCTCAGGGACGTCCTTGTTGTCTTTGGAAACTATGCCCCAGGGGATGAAGGATAGTGCGTAGGTGACAGAGATTTTTATTCAGCCCCTTCTTTTCTCTTCAGGCCTTCTTGGAGCGATACTTGGCGGCTGGACCTACCATCCAGTACCACAAGGAACGCTGGCTGGCCAAACAGTGGACACTGGTGAGTGAGGAGCCGGTGACCAACGGGCTCAAGGATGGCATCGTTTTCCTCTTAAAACGCCAGGACTTCAGCCTGGTGGTCAGCACTAAGAAGGTCCCATTCTTCAAACTCTCCGAGGAATTTGTGGATCCCAAGTCGCACAAGTTTGTCATGAGGCTGCAGTCTGAGACCTCAGTGTGACTGTGCAACAGCAGGGGGAGTGGGAGACTCTGGGGGGCTCCTGAGGGAGTAGGAAGGGGCTTGGTTCTCAGGCCCAGCCACTTTCCTCCCCCCCTTTTTTTTTTTGCTTTTTTTTTTTTTTTTTTTTTTTTTTTTACTTGAATTAACTTACCCCCACCTTCTCTCCTCTCCTCTTCCTTATTTTACCCCATGTGAACCTGGACCATCCTGCTGTCAACAGTACCTGCGAAGGACCCCTCTCCCCTGCCCCCAACAACTTTTGTATTACTCTAGGCGCTGCAGGAATCAGTGCCTCTCTCCCTCTTCTTTCCCTACCTAGTCTTTTCCCAGATTGCAGTCTCTCCTGAAAGGGCACAGGACCCTGCTAATTGTACCTTCCCCTCCTGAGCCTCGACTCACAAACCCAAGTTCTTGTAGCATTTCTCTTCAGTGGCCCCAGCAGGGTTTCTCTGGGGCACATGGTCATGACTCCAGAGAGCCACAGTGCCAAATTCCTCCAGGGCAGCAACTAGCCCTCCTGTCCCTCACACCAGCCACAACAAACCCTGGGTCCTGGGGCAGGGATACTCCTGCCACACAGTCTGAGTTAGGAATCTCCTTGCCAGGAGCATTTGCTTCCACATATATTTAGAGCAAAGAAGGATCCCATCCTTTTCCCAGAAATCTCCACCTAATGTTTTTGGTTTGTATGGTCACGTGACCATAGGCAAACAAGTGGAAACTGTCTGTGGCCACTTTTCCAGGGACTTGGGAGAAGGTACCTTTCTTCCAATGTGTCCTTCCTAGGCAGTCCCCGAGGAGGAGGGCTGAATAGATCCCTGAGGGTTTGGAGAGACCCCCATCATTGACTCTTGCTCCCTGACCCTACCCTCACTTTCCTCCTTGCTCTTCCCAGTGAAGGATGGTAAGTCCTGTACAGACTTAGTGGCTTACAGACCCTGACCCAGCCCCCGTGGTCTTAGACAAATGTTTTTATTTTTGTCATCAGCCACCCCTGTCCTGCTGTCTTCTCTCGACTCCAGAGACCTGTTGCCTCATCTCTTTTGGGGAAGAGCTGGCAGCTCCTCCTCATCCCCTGCCTTAAGTCCAGTTCTTTGCCTCAGGGGTCTGGTTTCCTTGGCCTTCCAGGGTCCCCACCCCTTTTCTCCCTGCCTGATTCTCTGAGCTCTGGGCTCCCTCTGTACTGGGTTGAGGGACAAGGATCACTGCCTTTTGTAGGTACTTCACCCCTCACCCCATTTTAGCTTCCATAGTCTTTGCACCAAATCCAAATTCTTGATAATTTAGATCTCATTTTGAGCAAAATTTGCTGGTCCTCTAATAAATCTTTTCAATATAAATCTGAGCCTTTGACTCAGACATTTTTGCCAAGGAAAATAGAATTAGGAAGTACCCATATACATCTAGCCAGGATCCACATGGAGGACCTTTCCAATGGCTGCAATGACTAGGCCATTCCTCTGAGTAACTCACAGTGTCCCTTTGTAGGCCCTTCTTTTCCCTGGAAGACTCGTTGGTACTTACCTTGCAGAGCACATCCTGGGATAAGATCCTCAGGGTCTCACCTGGGAGGCCCCCTCTCTGTGTAGTGCCAGCCCTGGGAATGATGGAGCCTAGTGATCGGGGTTTCTCCTGCTGTCCTTTCTGCAAAAGTTCACCTGTTCACCCACCACATGCCAGAGAGGGGCTCATTGGCCAATACCTACCTTGCCCCCAAAGGGGTGAGTTGTAGAGCTCACTTAGGCATGGCCTCTGGCTGGGGCCAGGGTTATGAGATAGGCCTGTATGAAATACGTCCTGTTCTGGGGGTCTGTCTCTTTTCTTCTCTTCAAAATCCTTGTGTCAGAGGAGTCCCTTCTTAGTCACATAAATACCTCACTATCCTGGAAAACAGGGCCTGGATGGTGACTGGGGTCATTGCCTTTGGGGGCAGGATGGAGTGTGGTGTGGTCTGAGGAGCAGATTGGGGTTGGAGAGAGGGAAAGGATTTGGGATCTTAGTTGCTGTCCTAGGTTAGGGGCAGGGGAGTGTTTATTTTAAGATCCTGCCATGTTTTTAATCACTGTGATTTTTTTTCATTCCCCTTTCCTAAAAAAAAGAATTTTCTCCTCCAACTCTCTCTCTAAGCACTAAGGGCTGTGCCTGAGAATGGTAGCATTTTGGTCTTTTGCGTCAGAACTGTGGTATCTTTGTCTTCTTTCATTGTTGTTATTATTATTATTATTATTACTTTTGTTTTTTAAAATGTCAGGATGAATTGTCAGACGTATGGCCATGTGTTTGTCCTCTGCTTCTCCTCTGTGGGAAGTTGTCTCCATGCTGTAAACTGCTGTGGGATGTGCGGCTGACTCAGTCCCTCTGAGCAGTTTCCCCACTGTGTCTGTCCCATCATGCGCTGGATCTGCTCATTCTCCTGCTGTGGGGGTGTGCCCACCTCTTACCCCCTAGACACCATAGGGCTGCTGTGGCTGGGCCTCTCCAGTACTCTCTTTTGTGTGACTCATGGCATCCTCGCTCATCCCCACCGTGCCTAGCAGGCCTTCCTTTTCACCACCTCGGAACGCTTGCCCTTCCTCCCTCCACACCAGGACGCTGTGCCTCAGTCCTTCACCTACCTCGCCACTCTGCCACTGTCCTCATTGGTCCTTTCTCCTAAACTAGTCTTTGTGCTCTCTTTTTTTCTTGTTTATTTCCCTCTTGTCTCTCATCTTTTCTTCCTCTTCCCCTCCCATTTCAGTCCTTTACTTTTCTCTTTCCCATCTCCTCTCAATATTCCAATGGCAAACCCTGATGTAATACCTTTGATGAGACATCGGGCTCTCCGGAACTTTCTCATTTGACACATCTTTTCCCCAGGGTTTGTACTTCTCTTCTTTCCCAGGCGAACTCCCCTGTTCCTCTGTGGTGTCTGTCAGTCTGTCTGTCTTCTCCTTCCTCTGTCCTTCCCACGGGGCAGTATCTGCTGATGGATTCAGTCCTGGTGTGTGATTGTTGTGATTTGTTCTTCTGTGCGCAAAAGGAAGGGGGCTTTTTGAGTCCCTTCCAAGTGAGATTGTAAATGTAGAATTTTCCACTGTTGGATCTAGATTTTTTTTCTTTTTGGGGGGGGGGTTACAGAGCTGAGACCTTGTGCATGCATGTAGAAAATTGTAAAATGTAAATTTTTTTTTAATATATAAAAAGCTTGTTTCTACAGTTTGCAGTGGATCTAAACATTATGGCAATTTTAGGGTTTTTTTCTTAAACATAGGAACTAAAACTGTACAAATTTTTTTTTATATAAAATAAAGACATTTGACTTTTGTGGGGGCATTCTGTTGCTTTTCTTTCTTTACAGGAATGGGAGCAAAAGAGGGCCAGGGGAGAATGAATATATACTCCTTGTTAGGGAGGGAATGGGCAGGAGGGGGCAGTGTGAGCCCGTCATTGCTCTACAGGCCTTCAGGGTGTGTTGGAGAGAAATGGGAAAATGAAAAAGGAAATTGCTTATTCCGAATCCTGATTCTAAAGAGAGAGAAACAAGAATATGAGGACTCAACCACTTCCTGGTGTAGTTGTCAGGATAGAGAAAGAAAGATTACTTCCTGGGTCCACTGTCCTAAGCAAGCTTGTATCTGTATGGCCTCTAGGACAGGAGTGGGTTTCTAAAACGTCTTTCTAAAACAGAAAGTGCCATAGGAATTTCAGGGGATAGTTGAGATTTCAGTCAATGGTGACAGTTCATCACAATTCGTTGAGACAAGTTTCTGAAGTATGTGTCTTAGTTCTAAATATGTAGAGAGCTCATTGCTCCGTTGTCACTGTAATGCATGTAATCAGGCACTAAAATCATCCTCAAGAGATTGGGGCCCTTCTCCCAGTCTTACCTGGACCTGACCTCTGTGACTTTGGGCAAGATGCTTCACAGGTAAACAGCCTACTAAGGTTAAAAACAAGCATTTCTGTATGGAGATAGCCTATTCACTAGATTTCCTCCTCTTCTCCCCTGCCTCATACTCTGCCAGGCTCTGGGGATGCAAAGGCAAGAGAGGCTCCATCCTGGAGGATGACCCAGTTTACAGGGGTGACAGGCCGGGTGACCCTAGTGCAAGGCTTCATGGTGTGTTCTCAGGCAGAGTGTAGATGAACCCTGGCTGAATTCCAAAGAGCTCGAGTTTCCTTCTTCAAGAAATCTAGGGAGTTCGTTTAAGGCTCAAGATGGGGGAACACCCTTACCTTGAGATTATGTTTTGTTCATCTAAGTATTCCTAGAATCGAAACCAGTTCCTCGCATATAAAAAATTATTGAATGAATAATGAACTTAACAACTAACAATACAATAGGGGCTCATGAAAGGGATCATGTACTTGCTTCTCCCTTTAAAATTACACTCCAGTCTTTCTCATGTGAAAACAAACAAAAATACTTCCCCTTGAAACTGCATCCCCATTCTCACAGCTCTGTTCTTTTTGTAACTAGGCTTGTAGAATAGTTTCACTTGCTGTTTTCAGTTCATTTCAGAGTCAACTTGTGACTTACATTGTGACCAAATTTCTACCTTAGCATGCCTCTGAAATTATTCTTGTTCTCAACAGTGAAGTGAAGTATAGTAAACACCTTTTAAGTTTATTCTTTATTTAGTGCCTATGATGTTCCCAGCCTGATGCTAAAGTACTTTCTCTGGTAAAGATATTGGATATGGTCCTGCCCTCTCTGAGCTAACCTTGGTGGACCCTTGAGGAGCCTAGTTAACCTCAGGGACCTCCTTCTGTAATGCTGGCCCCAGGAATTCATAGATTTAAAGCCAGACCTCAATATTTGATTGATAAGATCATATTTTCTCTAGAGGTTTGCTGCAAGCAAAAGTGATAATCCTGACCATTTGTCATGCAGCAAAGAGTATTTGTAACTTTTGTCTGAAAGGATGTGTTTTCCATGGCAGTACTTCACATAGCACTGAAGTTAGGGACCCAGCTTGGTGGATTGTCAGGGTCATGCCTGGCACTTCATGACATTATATGTGATTATATGTGATTACATATGCTGCCCATGTGTGATTTTTGTTTTTTAGCCTTTGCCTTTGAAATACAGCTGAGAGGGGAAACTGGGGGCTGGGGCTCTGGACGAGGAGACATAAAGATCTTTAGACCAAGGTCTCACTGATTTGTTATTAGTTTTTTATTTTTTAATTTTAATTTTTTTGTTACTTTTTGTTGGTTTGTTTGGGATAGCTTAATGGCTTCTACAGATTGAAAGTCAGCTTGCTTAATGTAACCCTTGGCTTTTTCATACTTTAAGCATATGATAGTAATGCTCTTCTAATTGCCAGGAAGGCTGGGGTAGGGGAAAGTCAGCCTTTGGAAAACCACTGCAGCATTAGTATACACAAGGTCATGGAAGATGCTAGAGAGATAATAAGGGACCACCTACATAGTAAATCTTGGAGAATAGTCATCCCTGTCCAGTTCCCTAGTTTCTTTTTAGGCTGAGAATGGGGTCCATTTCGCTTGGTACAAAGGACAGGGCAGACATGATATCCTATCTGCTCATAACAGTGAATGCCACATTTAAGTATGTAGAATAGTGGGAGAAGGTAATGGTTTAGAGTTGGGAAACCTGGCCAAGGCATTGGCTTCTCTCATTTCATCTCAGCAAGTTTTGGGGACACACTTACTGTGTGGTAGGCATTATGATACAAAGATAAATAAAACATTGGCCCCCTCCCCTTGGAGCTCATGGGGCTTTTACTAGATAAGTTGGGAAATTTTATTTTGTCATATGTTGTAGGCAAGCCAAGGAAGTACACTGTTTTCCTGGAGGTGGTAAATGCCATCTGTAAAAGGCAGACTGAAGCCAACAGTGTATGAGGGTATTGAGCCTGATATGTAAACTATTTTGATGTCGCTTCTCAAAAATAGCCATCTGTGCTCTGATATCCTGTAATAGGAATGACTTTGGTAATAAGGTTATAAAAATTAGGAGTATGGCTGGGTGCAGTGGTTCACGTTTATAATCCCAGCACTTTGGGAGGCCGAGGTGGGTGGATTACCTGAGGTCAGGAGTTCCAGACTAGTCTGGCCAAGATGGTAAAACCCCGTCTCTACTAATAATACAAAAATTAGCTGGTCATGGTGGCACACACCTGTCATCTCAGCTGCTCGGGAGGCTGAGGCAGGAGAATCACTTGAACCCGGGAGGCAGAGGTTGCAGTGAGCCAGGACTGGGCCATTGTACTCCAGCCTGGGTGACAAGAGCGAAACTCTGTCTCAAAAAAAAAAAAAAAAAAAAAAAAAAAAATTAGGAGTATGAGGTTCGGCTGTGTCTTGTCCCTTCTTGCTTTTGGGCACAATTAGGTCATGTTGTTGCTTCACTTCGGGTAAGTATGTGGTTAAAAGTGAAACTGGATTTTTAGGATTTTTAGGGCAGTCGAACTACTGTATATGTGCTATAAAGGTGGATACTTGGCATTATAAATTTTTCCAAACCCATAGGATATACAGTACCAGTAGTGAAGCCTAATGTAAATTATGAGCTTTGAGTGATTAATTTTAACAAATGTACCACTCTAGTGGGGGATGTTGATAATGGGAGAGTCCATGTAAGTGTGGGGGCAGGGCATGTATAAAAAATCCCTGTACCTTCCACTCAATTTTCGCATGAAACTAAAGCTACTCTAAAAAGTCTTTTACATTTGAGGTCAGGAGTTCGAGACCAGCCTGGCCAACATGATGAAACCCCGTCCCTACTATAAATACAAAAATTATTTTGGGAGAATGCGCCTGTAATTCCAGGAACTCGGGAGGTCAAGGCATGAGAATTGTTTGAACCCGGGAGGTGGAGGCTGCAGTGAGTTGAGATTGTGCCACTGCACTCCAGCCCGGGCAACAGAGCAAGACTCCATCTCAAAAATAAATAAATAAATAAATACAAACAAACACTATTTTAAAAAAACCTGACTAAGAAGACATCAAGCACAACTTTACCTAGTTCTAGGTACTGCTCTAGTAATAAAAGTGATAGTATTAAAGGTACTTGTGATGCAGGGGGCAAAAAGTGCAGGTGTGTGCTGTTTCTCTTGAATCCCTTAACAGTGTCACTCTGGAGCTTGGAAATCAGTTAAAGACCACTGAAGAGGAAGCTGAAGCTCTGTTGGTCCATCAATAATACTGCGACAACCAAAAATTTGCATGAGGGGACTTAAATGAGTCAGGAAACATGTGATTTAACTTAGTGGAGATTTTCGCTCCTTTCAAGTTCCTGTTAATGTTAGTTCTCTTTGACATACGAATATGTGATTTTAGGGTGGGGTTGGCTGGGATGGTTTTTACTGTAATAAAGAACACTTGTTGAAGGACTTCTTGTCTTCTGCCAGTTTACTTATATCTTAACACAGTACCTCCGGCCTCAAAGATGGAATCCAGTTAAAGTGAAAGCAGAGCCAAATCATATGCAGGGAAAACTGACCTTGTAGATTTCATCAGTGACTGATATGAGATTGTGTACTTCTGATTTGGAGCATATTGAAGAATTCGATGCTGGGCAACCTTTTTCCTGGAATTGAAATGTTCATCGGGTTTTTACTCTGTCTTGAAATAGGTCCCCAAAATAGAGTTTTTCAAACTTCAGTGGTACATATAGCAAGTGTACAAATCACTTGAGGATTATGTGAAATACAGATCCTGATTCAACAGGTCTGGGGTAGGGTCTGAGTTTCTTCATTTTGAACAGGTGCCCAGGTGTCTTAGTCAGCTTAGGCTGCCGTAACAAAATACCATAGACTGACTGGGTGGCTTAAAATCCAGAAATTTACTCCTCATAGTTCTTGAAGCTGGAAGTTCGAGATCAGGCTGGCAAGCATGGTTTGGATCTGATGAGGGATCTCTTCTTGGCTTATAAGATGCTGCCTTCTTGCTGTGCCCTCACATGGCAGAGAGAGAGGGAAAGACAGTGAGAGAGCCAGGTTTCTTACGTCTCTTCTTATAAGGGCACTAATTCCATCACAAGGGCCCTAGTCTCATAACCTCATCTAAATCTAATTACCTCCCAAAGGCCGCATCTCCAAATAACATCAAACTGGGGGTTAGGCTTCAACATATGCGTTCTGGGGCAACACAGTGTTAAGCACCAGGTGCTGCTGCTGCTGTTCTACAGACCTTATTTTGAGTAGCAAGGCCCTAAAAGAAGCTTAATATACCCCTGACAATTTGAGGGTCCTAAACATGCCTTACTTAACTCTAAGATAATTGATGCAAGAGATCAAAATTGTTAAGAAGTCTAAATTTTATGAATGTAATAAATAGTTTGGTGAAGTCATTGTTGCTCATGCTATA